AAGGAGGGTGGAAAAAAAAGTTCGAAAATGAACCTAGGAGTTTGCAAACAGAGGATTTAGAGTAGGAGATAGAGTGGCAGTAAAAATTATTGACAAGGTGACAGACGATGGAGATTTGGAACCATCCAATCCAAGGATGGGCAGCTTCATTACACCATAAATGTAAATGGTCAGCTATGGTGACGACGTGTCGAACAGACGCGTGATGGAGGAACCGTAACAGATGAGGGGTTCATATGTCCACCTGCAGCTCTCGTGATTTCCAAACAGCGTGATAAGAGTGGAGTTTCAGAACCATCCAAAGGTAATAGCCACCAGGCAGATGAGACTGTGTCGTCCTCCGAGCCCAAGGTTGCTTGGGATGTTCCATCCACCAGACCTGTTGCTGATACAACCAGGTTACCAAAGAAAGCAGCAGTGCCACAACCTTTGCGTCGGTCCAGTAGAATTCGACGTTCCCCAGATAAACTGCAGTTATGATAAAGGGGAAGGGATGTGGGATATTGAGAACTATTGATGTGGTATATCATAATCGGACTTAAAGGTGGCACAGCGTCAAGCCTCAAAGCATGCGCAGTAATAAGAAAATGACTGGAATGCGAGTAGCTGTAGGTATAAGTGTGTATGAGAGTGATGAGACATTTTATACATATAATAAAAGTAACATGTAGTTAAAAGAGTGTGTCTTGTGAAATAATTACCCACAAAAGGATACACGGTACTTTAGATGTACTTTTACCATTTTAAAATTTTATTCACTTAGAATGAATAAAACTTTAATCACAGAAAACCTTTTTTAAGCTTCTGTTAGTTCATTATCTATTGATTTATCTTTGTACATAGTTTTCATTTCATTAATTTTCTATATTGATATACTGAAGTTATGTTCTTCTATGTGTTCATTTTGCTTTAGTTCAAAAGCTTTTAGCAGGACAGAACCATTATGCAAATCAGTAACTACTATCAGCAATAGTCATCATTCAAAAAAGTAAAAATAAATCTAGTAGTTCACTAAGGTGACCCCTTTTAACATCAAAACATTTGCATCCATGAAACTTAGAGCCTTCAGTGCATTTATTTAATCCATTTGAATTGTACAGAGGGTGTTTACAGATTTTTAGAATGATTTTGAGTTTGTTTAATTAATGTTTGAAATGTAGAGAGTTCCTTTTTTAAATGTTCAATCTGATACATTTTTTTCCCTGGACTACAAGTTTGCATCATGATTTCCATGACTAGAAAGCTTTTCATGAAATTCCCAAGGGTACTAATTTTTATTCCTTTTCTACTACTTTCCAAAGTCTATTTATTATGGTGGAATTGGACTTAGTAAGAGCTTTTTTAAAGCCACTAGATCCATAAGTGACCAAGATATCAATGGTTCATAGGTGAAACATCAGGGGACTTAGCAGGTAAAAACTGAAAAGTTATATATGCAATACCTGTATCAGTCTTCTTTTTTTCAAGAAATGCAGTGGTACTTTTTGATGTATGACTCACTGGTTTGTTTTAACGAAGTTTCATTCTTTGAAAGTCACTGGGATTAAGGAATGAAATTTCTTCTATAAATACTGGATGTACAACTTTCTCTTGATGGTACAATGAATTGATTTTAACACTTTTTTCCTCTCTTGTTATTTTTAATTTGCCATCATAAGAGAATCCTGCAACAATCATAAACCACTTGCTGAAACTTTTTTACATTGATGGAATTAGACTTGTACATTTTTTCTCTTTGTTTTCAATAATTAATATAGATTTTTTTTGAGTCATTTAGGTAGGCTTCATTAAGCACCACAATGTATTTCCATTTATTCCCTGTTTAAACAGTTTTTATATAGGTTTTAAAAAAATTTTCTGCATTGAGCCACATGCTTTGGCAAAAGCTGGTAAACATTATGCTTTTTAGCTTTCTCAAGTTGTAAATCTTAATTATTTTATTTATTGTTACCACAGGTGCACTTAAAGACTCTGCAGTTGATTTCTATATTGATAATTTTCTCTCTTAACAACAATTGAACTTTAAGAAAGAGTATATACCATTTTTTAGGTATTCGTCTAGAGCCTTTTTTCTATCCAGAAGTAATGATTGACTGTATTTCTTTTTTTGATTAATAATGCAGCTTATTTTACCCTTAGAAATTTTAATATAATGCATTTTACAATTTTTCTGAATCATGGAATAGAAATATTTCATTTCAGAAAGCATAAAAATATATCCTTCAATCCAAAGTTTGTTTACATGTGATGTTTTAAAAGGAGAATAAATTTAAAAGTAGTAAATGATATTTCTTATTTTAAATAATAAGCTGCTAGCAAAAATTTTTATTCCAAAACATTCACTTTTTTTTTAAAATTCTTTATCACAATTGTTTTAAAAATGTGTTAACATTCTCTGCAATCTTTATACATTTAAATTGCACTGTTTACAGTTTAAAGCTTTACGTGTTCAGAAATGATCTGAAGATTCGACCAACTAGAATATTTAATGTTAAACATTTCAAAATAAAACATTTAAAAGTTTTAGACACTGATTCAATTTAGGCATTTTTTACAGGCAGCCATTTTACACAGAAAAAATATGTTCCAATGTTTTTTTTTTTTTTTTTTTTTTAATTTTTAATAAAACAACTTCATATCTGCATTAAATGAAAATTGCAACGAAAATTATTATGCTATTTCAAATTCAGTCTACTTCAAAAATGCTTTCACGTTATACTAATACGACAATTTAAAAATCAGAAATAATTTACTAGAGCAACATCTTATCTATTATCACACAGACTCTTCAACAATTTTTTTTATTCTTGTCTGACTGAAGCAGCATCAAAAAAAATTTTGAAAGCAAGAACTAAATTTACACAATATTTGAGATTTGACGTACTTGATGAAATATTAATAGAATTTCGTGTAAATTATGATATTCCACATAAACTAATTTGTTAGGAGGGGGAAAAGGAAGGTGTTTAATAAGTCAGCAAACATTTAAAAAATAAGTTGTAATATTACATTATGTTAATCTAAACAGTTATTATGATTTATATCTTTCCCGTTATCTCCTTTCCATTTCCCTAACAGAATTCAAACTTAATTTCAGAGTGTTTAAGCTGAGGGTTTCAGTTTGTAAGACAAAACATGCTTCTGCCTCTCGAGGCCACATCATTATGTTTTGCTAACTCAGATAAAATTGTATTATTCAGCTTTGCATTATAGCTGCCAGCATTTAAATTGTTATGCCGGTGAAAAGTTCATGAGCCAACATCGCGTTAAATAAGTTGCATAGTTTTTTAACTACAAGATTTAGTTTTAAATCAAAACCTTCTGAAGGCTTTACAATTATTTTCAGACAATGCGATAATTCACTCCAAGTCTGTTAGGAATTTGGACTATTTTTCAACATTCGCTCCCGGAATTGAAATATTTATCATACTGTAGAATAAATGTTGTATTCCCCTCTGACAGAATTCTGCCACTTGCAATCAAGATAGCCCATTGAAATTTCCAGAGTGTTTGACATCAATGGTCAATGTTTACTACTTCATCTCTGGCCAGGAAGTCAATGAGCAGCATTTCTGCCCCAGAATAATGCACACACCAATTTTCAATAGAGTGTCTGATTAAACTTTCATGTGAGATCCATTGTGATGCTAATACATAACTTTTTGCTGGGTTTTCAGAACAAAATAAGCAACCCATATCTCATTGCCCATTGTTACCCTGTTCAGAAATTCATGACTGTAATCATAATATTGATGCAGAAAAATTAATGTTGATCCCATGCATTTGTTTTTGTGTTGAGGTACCACGCTCCTCAGTATTCATATGGCACAAAACTTTACGCCAAAAAAGGCTGCCATAAATGAGAAATGGTTCTCTAAAAAATGCACTTCCACACCTGCAGCATAAAAGCTTCACTGATAATGGACAGCCACCCAGTGTGTTTCTCAAAATGGATATCTTGACAATCTTTGAAAAATTACCTGCACTAATGTCACACCATTTATATGAAGTCAGGCCAGTGCACTTGATACAGCTGACAATGAATTTCAATTGACAGTACTTTCAGCACATCTAAAAACTTTATCATGAACTTGATCACAGATTTGACAAGAAAAAAATATAAGGCTGTAACATCTTAAGCTGCTATACATAACAGTGATACTATGAATGACTGGGAGGTAGCAACTGTTCCACATGATAGCTACATCTTAAACTCTCAGACAAAGGCATTTGCATTTTGCAATGCATGACATTTCATTTGCTGCTACTGAGCATACATTTCCTATTGTGCAGTTTCTTTCTTTTTTTCTAATTACAGCTATGTCTAACAAATGATAATGTATTAAACAGAAAGTCACAAAAAGGTCACTTGTACTAAAAGGCCAAAAATAGTTACAATTTTACAATCTTTCAGTTAGCTCAAAGATATAAGATATGGTAAAGAACTTGAAACAATAGATCCTTTGAAAAACCTACTAAGAAATGCAATGGGTCATTTATTGTAAAGCAAACTAAAGTCATCTTCCTGTGGAAGGGACAATTTAATAGAAAATTTTTTAAGGGACATGCCTATATTTCTATTGCATCTGAGGGGGAAAAAATTAAATTTCATAAAAACGGCCTTTTCAAATGGCAGGAACAAAACCTGGGCTGAATTACCAGGCAACATTTTGTGGCTTCAGCCATTTAGCCAACAAGGATCCCACAATATTTTATAAAAATAAACTTATACATTCATTCTTTTATCAGATAGGTTTAAAAAATACAAAGAAATCTGACATTTATCATAAAGCATAATTTTTTTTAATACAGTAAAAATAGTAGATTCATTACTTGCATATATTCATTATATATACAAATAATGAATCTACATTCAGGCAGTTAATTTTTTAAAATATATGAATTGCTTATATTTAGTTTCTCTTTGTATGCTATTTTATAAGCTTGCATATTTTCATTATTAAAATAAACTCATTTTTTAAAAAAAGGACACTGCTCACCATCACTCTGTACCAACTTCAATCCCCAATTCAGAGCATCATATTCAACATTTTTCATGATAAGTTCCAAAACAGCATCTCTACCAATAGCTGACATTACACGGCTGGAAACACTTTTGACCATAGTTTGCATTATTAAATCAATGGTTGATTCATTTCCTGAGAGAGAAAGGGAAAAGAAAAAATTTAGAACATGTGTGTACTTGTATATAACAGAAAGGAAACAGCAATCAGAAATGAAATAAACACATACATTTACAATCACCCATGCATTTGGAATAACATTCTTGATGTATTTCATTAAAAATAGTAGCATAGACAAATACAAAACTGACAATAAAAAATTCTCCTCAATCTAGTTACACAAAAACGAGCTTGAAATAAACAACACTTATATAATTTACCCACACTTATTTACTTGTACACTGCATGATAAAAATTTTATTATAACTGACAATTAAACTGCAAAAATTATACACTATAAAAACTTGGGTACTTTTTAATTTAAGCTATACTGCTTAAAGCCTTTTTTTTTTATTTTGATGCATTTTCTTGGCACCGGATCTCACCAGTTTGTTTTCGGCTTCTTTCCTGGCAATAACTGCTTTTACCTATGGCTGGTGCAATCACATTTTTATCTAATGACTCCTCCTCTTTTTTTAACTGCTATGAATTTTACAACTTAAAATTTGCCAAAATATACAAAAGCAACTATCCCATGTCTTCAAGAAAGAGATATTCTTCACAAAGAAAATCATGTTTGAGTAATCATCTCATGAAATAATTAAAATATAACTTGAAGCCAAAATGACTGGGCAGCCTTTGTTCATGCTGTGATGAAAAAAGGTGTCTAAACACCAACCTGGTTTTTTATATCACACATTCATTTCATTACTACCATATGATTCACTCACTGATGGAATCAGGAGTTAACATCTATTGCTTTTTATGAACCAAGATTTGCTTCATATAAATCACAACACAATAGCTGATTGGAATATGAAAGATGTATATCATATTTTTACTTATCTTGTTTCAACATTAACATTAATGGGTGTTCTGGAAATTGATCAAAGCTTATTCACACAGAAGGGGAAAAAAGGGGTGACATAATGTAGGCCACCACAACACATTTATAGAGAACTTTGTTGCAAAACTGAGAACATTCCTTGTTGCTGTTCCTGATTGTTCTGCACTGTCTAGTACTGAGATAAAAGCATGGGGAAAGATATTAATAAAAATGTACCAATACTATGTATTTTTAACAGAATCTGGGAGACAAGTCTTGTGCCTGCACAGCAGAAGACAGCTGTGGTTTTATTTACTCTAAAACAAAATAAGGCTCTGAAACTACTTAGTAGTTAGCCAATTTCTCTCACTAGTTTCTTAGAAAGATTATACAGAAACCAATTTTTAATAGGTTCAATTTTTCTCTGGAAGACAGAAAGCTAACAGCAAGCAAACAGACTGGGTTTCAAAAAAAAAAAAAAAAAAAAAAAAAAAAAAAAAAAAAAAGTCAACATGGGATCAGGTTGTTTACCTAAAATGGTAAAAGATGCTTTGGACAATCGAAATATTTTAACAGCAGTTTTTAAAGTGCCTAAGATATAATATGGAGAGAAAAAACTGCACCAAAAAGTGTTTAGTGCTGAAGTTTGTAGAAGTATGTTTAGGTGCATAAAGTATTTCACTGACCAACATAGCTGCAAGATCATATTTGGAAATGACTTCTCTAAACGTTCAACCTGCAAAAAGTGCAGTTTAATATCTATACCAGTGACTTAGTTTCTGCCCCAAAAATGTCAACTGTCTGTGCTTTGCAGATGATTTTGTCATCTGGATGCAGATACCACAGCGAAATGCAAAAGCCTTGATGAAAATGAAAGTTAATCAGGCTCTTGATAGAAATGAAAATTAATCAAGCTCTTGATATACTATCAGAATGTTGCATTGAAAATAATATGACTCTGAATTTAGAGAAGAGTGCTGTACAGTATTTTTTGCTGGCCTATCATGCACTACTCCCAAATTAGGCAAACAAAATAAGGAAAGTACAGAAATGTTGCTCTCATCCATACTAGCAAGTTCGGTCATTTGGAGGCGACTTTTGACACCAAAATGAACTGGAAGTTTTATTCTGAATCGATTTCAAGTCACTTTCTGAGCAGAGTGACACTAACTGGATCCCTTTGGGGAGGCAATAGATCAACTTAACATACTTTTATTCTATCCTTAATTACTTACTGCCGTGAACCACTTATTTTGGCAAGTGATCAAGTTTTAAGAAAACTGGAATTTTTACAGAATCAGATTCTAAGTCTTATTACTGCAGATGTCAAATCAACACCGACCGATGCTATGCTTTTGTTCACAAATAATAAACTCATTTAAGTCATCACCAAAGAAAAAGCTCTAACTCTTTATTAAAAATTAATTAGATCTGGAAATCATTACTGGATTAATTATCCGACACAAACACTAAAAATTTAAAAGCACAAAATGGTTTTGTTAACTTTGCCTGGGATGTCAGATGAAATTTTGAATAGTCAGATAATATTCAAGGATTTACAAAATTTTCAAACATACTTGAAACTGTACAGATTGAATAAAACTTGAGCCTTTTTCATGAACTACATTTCAAAAGAAACAACCGAAATATTATATTCTAGATACGATTGACACGATGTATCCAAAATCTGAGTGATTTCATGTTTTCGCAGATGTCTCCTTTCATGATGATCTAATTACTGCAGACTCAGGAATCTTTTTCAGCTTATTTTTCCTTTGTGATTCAGAGGGGATATATCAAACAGCTTTTGGTGGAAAGGTGTAGGCTTTCCAAATTGCTTATACAGATATACAGAAATATTTGCTGGTTTTTTAGGATAGATTTGCTAAAGTAGTCTTTTCCTGATTCCTGCACTGCAATATAGGCCATTAGGTCTTCAAGCTTTCCTCATCACAGGAAATCTCCCAGTGTAGGCATTATTTATGGGAGTTGGCTTTAAAAAGAAAACATGTGTTCTTTCAGTGGATATCTGGCCATTGTTGTATTTCTAAGAATGAGCAGTCCAACTGCCTCTCAATAAAGGAACTTGAGATGACAAAAACGTTTTGGACATTATTTTTCTTTCTATCAGGCTCTATATCATGCAGATAATGAAAAAAAGCATAAATTGCAAATTCAAGATAGGACAAAGCACTAGAGTACTGAAGATATCTAAGCAATCTCCAACAGTCCACAGTGAGAAGCTGTTGCCTAGTACCTGCTTCTGAATGGATATGATTGCTTGGCACAGCACCTCTAACACACTGAAATCTTTTCGAACCCTAGCTGCCCTCTCTGTAATTTGGCAGATCCAATGAATTGAGTCCCCCCCTGTCAATGCATGTCACTTCTTGGCAACTCCAAAACAGCAGTCTGAACATGGCATGGCAGAGAACTTTTGAAGCAATGACTTAAGTCACTTTTATGTATGCCTTTTATTGTTTGTTTGTACCTTTGTATTTGACTTGTCATTGGAAATAATGATAATTCAGACAGCATTAAGAAATTTGTGTGGAAGATATTATAATTAATTGAAATTAATTATTCAGATTACATCCAAGATGGTTTAACAAAGGATTTGCTGTCTTTTACTAAAATGTGACTGAATTAAGAATAGTTTTGGTTAATAATTCTACCTTTGACAATGAAATAAAAAACAGAAGAGCTAAAATTTAACTAACAGATCTGAAAGAGGGAGGAAATTTTAATTACTGCATACAGATTTGATATATTTTCACTATAAATGCACTTAAAAGCTCCTTAAGTAAAGCATTAATTTTCCTTTTTCATGCAAATAATAAAACTAGAATACAAATTCAAAATTAGTAAGAATTTTAATAGAGTTTTAGTATGTAACACATATAGGTTTATAGTATTTAAAAAAGCACATACATTCAAAATAAATATAAATCCAGAAATAATAACCTATAATCAAATCTATATCTGGTTTCTTTTCCTCCCTAACATCCATTCCAGATAGAGTATTAAGAATAACTTGGATGAAATACTGAACAGAATTTACATAATTTTCAGAATTGGAATTTATATTCTCAAACAAGAAAGGTACACCGATTATCTGTAGAACTAGAATTGTCTGAAAGAGAAATCAAAAGATTATTAAAGAGTACCTAAAAATATTAAACACAAAAATTACCATGTAACAGAAGACTAACATACTGCAATAAAAGGCACATACATCTTTAATAAATAATTTAATTTCATGTCTATAAGATGGATAAATTTGACCTTTTAGAGATATTTATATAGTGATTCAAATAAAATTACATAAATCAAAATTTAAACTTAAATTTGCAATAGGCTTGTAATTCTTTAATTTAATCTGGATATTTCAACTTTCTATCCTCTTCATAACAATAATAATATAGCAAATTTGGAGCTTAAAATCATAGTTTGCAAATTAAGTTCTCCTTTTGAACTAAGCATATATACTGGGTTATGCACTTTGCTTCTGCTTCTCCTACTAACAAGAACCATATGCAAGGTTTAAAAAAAAATAAAAATTCTAATTGTTATTTACAATAGTCCTTTGGCGCTGCATTTAAATTTGACTATTCTCACCTTCTGTCCTAAAAATAATAACTGCTCATAATAAATTTCGCAAACACTGCCATTTCCAAAATAATTCATATGATCTTATAAAATGCTCCTATGATTTAGCCAATCTCGATGATTCAAAAATAAATACTAACATTGGGAACAAAAACCTTGTGACTTTTTTTGGGGGGGTGTCAGAATTTCTTGCTTTCCTCCCTATTTTCATCCATTGTCCCCCGTTATGCTTGCTGATAGCTAAATTCACACTGGTAAAGTCCTAGCTAACTTCGTGTTAAATTACTGTGTGTAACGTTTGGCTGTTAGTCATTTAAATTTATCATTATTTTAAATCTATCAAAAGGTTGGTCACAGGTTACAGTAATGAAAGACTTTAAAACTTATAAATTCTTAAAGGCTATGGCTAACTGCAGTTATGCAATTACACACTCTACATGACAACATTATCTACAAACATCGGCCATGATTGAAATTATTTGCCTTTTCTTGCATTCTAAATCATTTCACACACACAGACACACAGTGTCTGGCAAAAACATCATGGAGAAAACAACGCAAGACAAAAACATCATGTTACACACCATCATGGGAGAAAAGAAAGCAAAGAAAAAAAATAGTAGTTCTAAAACATCGTGGTACAAAATATCGTGGTCGAAAATAAAGTGGTTCAAAAACTTCACAGTTTAAAAACATCATCCTCAAAAATATTATGGTAAAATATAAAGTACCTACAAATCACTGCATGATGATAACATCGCACACAAGCATTTTCAGGATTTAAAACTTGTAAATATAATTCCGCATAATGATTTGGGAATGCAAGAAGGAAAAAGGGATTCTTTTACTTCTATATTTCATATTTTTGAATGAACTAATGTTTGCTGAAAAAATAAGAACCAAACTTAAGCATTTAAAAATTGAAAATGAGTAAAAAATTAATGCAACTTATAGAACTTAATAGAATTTTAAATTTACATAGTTAATTAACAAAGATCATTAATAAATTAACCTTTTTATAAAGTTTTACTGATAATATTTTTATGTAAACTACAGTCTAAAAATGCTTAGAAAAAGGAAGATTAACAACTGCATGAGGTCACCTCTAGAAAAGTTACTTGTTAATCTGATAATAATTTAGTGAAAATTATTTTGTTTTGGCTCCATTTATTCTTCAAGAGCCATTAACATTTTCATGTAAAAATTTTTGGATAAGTGCAATAAATTTTTGGATGTCGATTTAGTAGTTATGATGAAAGTCAGTTACATAATATGTCAGCTTGAAAAACACATGCGTGCGATGTTATCGTCATGTGATGAATTGCAGGTACTTTAATTTTTATCATGATATTTCCGACGACGATAATTTTATACTGCAAAGTTTTTGAATCGCCTTATTTTTGACCACACTATTGTTTACCATGATGTTTTCTCTTCTCCCATGATATTTAGTACCATGACGTTTCGACCTTGCATTGTTTTCACGACGTTTTCATCCACAGTGTTTTTGGCTGTAACCAGACACACATATACATAACGAAATAGTTTTTAAAAATAAATTACACAACAGAAATTAAATTAATATTCTAATGAACATCCTTCAAATAATTTTTCAGCAATATTATAAGCGTCAAAAGAAATATACACTATCATTCATACAGATAAGAACTCTAATAATTTATTTTTATAAAATACAAAATAAAAATATTTTCATGGTACTTAATAATTTTTATTTTATCCCTTCCGTAAGAGCCTCTCATGTAGACAATAGACTGATGATTAAATGAAATTCACACATTAATTACGTTTAGTTCTTCATTTATTAATTTAAAAAATTACACATTTTTTACTTCCTGAATCTGATGAATTTGCTTACATTTTAAAGGTAACAGGAGCGTAGAAAATTATCTAATAGTACTCAGTTTCTAAAATTTTGCTCATGTACAACTTCACTAGCAGTTTTATCTGTTTAACTGCTAGAAGATGCTGACACTAAATAAAATAAATAAAAAGAAAAAATAATGTTCATGAAAATAATAGTGCCTCAATTACTATAAAATACAGTCAAAAGTCGTTAATTCGGACACCCATAATCTGGAATGATCTATAATCCGGACCTCAAAGCTACAAACTTTCTGCGCATGCGTCAACGCATAATGCGTTCGTGCATGCGCATAGGCGTTTATGCATGCGCGTAATACTTTTATGCATAATACGTTTAATGTATAACCGACAGTATAAGCTAAGCTAAAATTATCTAATTATCTATTTCAGTTAATGTTGCAGATTGCGTTGTTCCTTAATCTTCGAATTGGATCTGGCTTATTATTTTTTGCAAACTGTTAGAGCAATTTTATAAAAGTAAGCTTGAACTTTCAATTATGTGAAACAGAATTTCCGATATATATTTACTAATACGTAAAGGATCTACAAAGGGAAAGTATGTTTCGATGCCCATCATACAAAAAGTGGAATTGCTGAAAAAAAAAAATGAATAAAGGCATATGCTTTGTTTCTCTAACCATTCCGAAATCTGTTTATCAATTTCACGCTGCTCTGGGGGGGGTAAGGGGGAACATCGGGAACGCAATGATTTGGAAGTTGATCTGTCAGCACTATCCTTATCTTCAGGGCAGATGTTTTTATTTTATTAAGCTTATAATTCCTTACTAAACGTAGTATTTCATCTTGATGTATTCCGTCTTTGATATGATTTAAATCAAATTCTTCGTCATTATAAATATCACACATCAATTAGTTTTCTGGTTGCAATTTTCTAATTTTGTAATTCTTTATGTATATGTGTATCTGGTTACAGCCAAAAACACTGTGGATGACACGACTATGCGTAATGTATGCTTTACGCATGCGCGCATTGAAATAAATGTTTAATGAAGTAAACAAATAAATATTAAGCTTTTTTTTTTGTAAATTTTGATACCCTTTAGATCATAATTGCTCTTTATTTCATAAATTACAGTTTCATGTTTTTAATTTTATAATTTCTGCATGCCAGCTGACCAGATTTAAACTGATGATCTATAATCCGGAAAAATCGATAATCCAGAATCGCCGAAGTCCTGACGAGTCCCGATTAAAGACTTTTGACTGTACTGAGATTATTGTCGGCCAAATGATATAGTGGTTAGGGGAGCCTACTACGGTACCAAAGGGCCCGAGTTCGAATACCAGAGAAGACATGAATGTTTGTAAATGTATAGTGTTGGTGCGGCATGGCTAAACTCTAAATATGCGGCGAGCCGAAAGTCCTCTTGTGTGAAACGGTGGAAGGGGAGAGGGGTGGGAAACCCCTGGATCCCCCTCGAGGTGCTCTTCATCAAAACTGGGGTGGAAAATAGAAGTCCAACCTCTCTTCGAACCACATGTAATATGGACATGACAACAACTGCAATTATTAATATTTGATTTTGCATATCTTAGTTGCTACAAGAGAATTTCTTCTTTGAGCCTCAAAATTAAATATGTACCAAAATATATGTTGAACATAAAATAAATAAATAAAAAAAAACATACTCTAACTGGATTATTTCTGCAAAGTTCTCCAAGTGTTCTTATTACAGCAATAGATATTTCTTCACTTTTTTCCAGTTTCATGGCAGCCAGAAGTTTTGTTATTCCAGATTGCTCCATTATAAGTTCAGCACTAGCATTCTCTTTAGCCAAAACAATTATATTGTTAGCTGCCTTTAACAAAAATACCCATTGAATGACCATAAAATTTAATATGAAGTATACAAAAAATAAAACAACTACAAATCAGAAATAAAACAAAAACTTTGAAATATAAACAATAGTTTGGAATTGAGCCATTTAAATAGTGAAAAAGCAACAAGGGGTAAACATGTTGTAACATGGAAATGAATTTCTAGAACTTTATTTTAGAATACCTGACTTATAAGTTATATATGAAGAAAATACTGAGACACATTATTTCATTTTTACAAAAAAACATATTCATGGTTAATATCATATACGTTATGTAACTTTTGCTTATGATATCTCTTGATGAAAAATTTTTTGAAAGAAAGGTAAAGATTTGTAGTAAACCTTAGTATTAGTGTTGAATATATGGTTAATATAGCTTGTTATAAAATCATGACAGCTATACAGATCCAACTAAATTTTTGTTTTTCCTGGAATATAATACATAAAGATCCAAATGGACATACTCATTTTCTCTTTATTAAACTGTTTCATTAGTAATTTATTTAAAATACATTTTAATTCAATTTGAAATAAACTGACTTGCAAACAAAGTGAATATTTTTTAAACAGCTGAAATTCAATGAATTAGGCATTCACTTGAAATTAACAGCTGATTGAACTTATTCTTAGCTGTTTCATCACTGAGGATGTTGCCCAAGGTGCATGCATCTCCCAAGAAGAATAAACTCATATTATGCCAAAAAGAAGGGAAGAAGAACAATGTCACACAAACAGTCAAACCTTGCACAACTGAACCTGATCCTTCTAACTACTACACTATCTGGAACTGCATATATTAAATAATTAATGCATAATTTTAAGTTTTACATGAAGTGAAAATATTTCTTTATGCAAATCATTATAAAAATTATTAACTCCTTACATGAATTTATGAAACTTATACAAAACCATATAATAGCTGAAAAAGAACATAATTTTACATAAGATGGGGGAAAAAGTCTCATTAATAAAGCCGCTCATTAATATTATAATACTTTACTTAATATGGGTTTTTTATTAATTTTATTAAATTTCAAACTTATCCATAAAACACTTCATCTTACATTCCCCCAAAATTAATTTCTTTCAAATCTTTTGATAAGAAATAAAACTTCTCAGGTTTTTACTTCATATCACAGTTTTAAATATTCTAATACTTTCAAATAAACTTAGAACATTTTCAAACAGAAAAATAATCACATCTGCTAAAATAAAAACAACCATCTACAAGGTAGACATACATATATGAAACAAAATAAAACCTTAACTATTTAATAATTTCATCTATAGTACAAAGTCAGAGATCTGAAATTCTCAACAATTCTGGATTTTTGAACATCAGTTTAAATCTAGTAAGATGACATGAGCTGCCCAACCAGTACAGTGGTTAACATTGGTGATTGCTGTGCTGAAGGGGCTGAGTTTGAAAAGGCATGGATGTTTGTAAACATATAGTGTCGGTGCAGCATGATGGCACTCTAAATATGCAAAGAGCTGAAAGTCTTCTTGTGTGGTTTGGTGGAAGGGGAGATGGGTGGGAGACCCTTGGAACCAAATTCCCCCGGGATGCTCTCCATCAAAATTGGGGGCGGAAGTGAGCTAAGTCACATTGTCACCTGTAAGGTTTTCAAGGCACATGTCATCTTACTTGTTGCCATCGACAGGCATATCTTGCGCTCCTTGCCAGAAGGAATTTCGTGGGCTTGGGCTGATGTTACTGTCAGACAAATGAGCATAAGTGACAACAAGATGACACGTAGAAATTATGAAATCAAAAATATTCTTTATTAATATTGCTTTAAAAAAGAGGTATTTTGCATAAAGAAAAAAATTTTTTTGGAATCACCACTATGTGAAATTAAAACGTGACTCGAAGTTGAATTATTAAAATGGCAATATTTTCTGAATTTAAAACCATATACAAATATTTTCTGTTCTGTTAATTGACTGATGATTCAGATATTGTAATTGCCATATCAGTCTTCAGTTATATTATCTTCATTTAGTATCTCTTCTCATACCTCATTTAATTGGAAAATTTCACTTTCTACTTGTGATAACCTCCCAATTCACAGCTTTCCTTATCATCATCATGCAAAGCATTTAAAAAAATATCTGCATACAGTGGCTCCCAGAAGTGTTCGTACACTTATGATTTTCATTGAAATAGAGCTCTATCCATTAATTAATAGTAAACTTTCTAAATGAGATTTTAATAATAAGATCTATAATCTAGTCGTAACAAAATTACATGAAATATGTTTTAAATATAGCGAAACTTTATTTTTATGAAATTAATAATAAAAAAAGGACAAACATTTTATCTCACAAAAGTCTTTGCACACTTAAAAAAAATCTCAACATATTAGTAAATATTTTCATTTTTCGTTAAATTAATATTTAGTAGGATGTCCTTTAGCATCCACAACAGCTTTTAAATGTCTGGGAATAGATTTTAGTTTTTTGTAATTTCTGTATCAATGTTCCTTCATTCTTCCACCATGACTGGTTTGAGTTCGCTTTTCGTTTTGATGTCATGTTTTCGTACTTTAAACTCCAATTCTTTCCAAATGTGTTCTATAGGGTTTAAATCTGGCGACTGAGGTGTTTTCAAAACCTGTGGACAATTATAGAGACACCACAGGAGAACGTTGAGAGCCATATGCTTAGGATCGTTATCATGATTAAAAATTCCAATACCCAAATTTCGGACTGATAATTTTAAATTGTCTCTTAAAATATTTAAATAAAGAGAATGATTCATTATGCCATCAATAAATACCAAATTACCTTGTCCTGATGCTGCAGTGCACCCCCACACAAGAACACCTCCACCGCCATGCTTAACTGTTCCAACTAAGTTCTTAGAATAAAGTTCCTCATTTTTTTTTCCATACAGTTATTTGACTATCGGAACAAAAAAGTTAAATTTGCTTTTGTCAGCAAATAGGACATTATTCCAGTACATTTCAGGTGTATTTATCATTGATTTTGTGAATGAAAGCTTAAGCTTTCTATTTTTCTCACTAAGAAAACATTTTTTACAGGCAGAACGCCCATGTAATCCAGCTTCTCTGAGAACACGTCGAACAGTTTCAGGTGAAATTGAAGTAGAAAACATTGTATTAAATTCTGCAGAAACTTTTACAGCACTCAAAACGTGGATTTTCCACAAATTTTCTAATAATAAATCTCTTATCATGTTTAGTTAACTTTCTTGATCGACCTTCTCTTACCTTGTTTTCAATCCGATTTTCTTTTTTAAAGCGTTTTATCACATACTGCACTGGAGAATGGGATAAATTAACTAACTTAGTGATATTGCGAATTGATTTACCATTACTATGGTGAAAAATTATCAATTTTCAAATGCTGTTTGAAATTTCTTTACGACTGCGACCCATTTTTCAATAATAAATAGAATATTATGAAGTAAACAATAAAAAATGAAAGCAAATGATTTTTTAAATGCCACCACAATGCAAAAATTAAAAAAAGTGGTAAATTATAGTTCTAATTTTGATTTTATCCAAAAATATTTCAGTGTACAAAGACTTTTGTGAGATAAAATGTTTATCATTTTTTTATTATTAATTTCTTAAAAAATAAAGCTTTGTTATATTAAAAAAATATTTCATGTAATTTTGTTACAAATAGATTATAGATCTTATTATTAAAATCTCATTCAGAAAGTTTACTTTTAATTAATGGATAGAGCCCTATTTCAATAAAAATCATAAGTGTATGAACATTTTTGGAACCCAATGTATATATATATATATATGTGTGTGTGTGTGTGTGTGTGTGTGTGTATGTATGTATGCTGAAAAGCACTTTTGTATACGAGCACTTTTGGGAGCCACTGTATACATCATCTCATGATCTTGCAATGTCTCAAACATCAAATCACTCCCACAACCACTCAAGAGCTAAAAGAGTGTTTGTGACTAATATCAATACATGTATTGTCATATGCCATGGTGCAATTCCCTTGCCAGTAGGAGTTTGAAAGTGACATACAGGAATCTCAGTCAAGGTAAAAATTGCTTTTATGACACACTTGCTTTTTCTCAAGTATTGTGCTCTCCATTCCTAGACTTTGTAAAGAAAGAAAAAAAGAAAAAAAAAAAAAAAAAAAAAAAAAAAACCTTTCCCCCACCTCCGATGGTTCAGACGTTACCAGATTTTGGTCTTTGTACTATATATACACGTACAGGAAAATCATAAACATAACTTTTTATAATTTTATGTAAATATAATCTCATCATAATTAGACATCTTAAAAAATCATAAGTACATATTTTAACATGGTAAGAATTCTTTTAAGAAACAGAAGCTTATAATTCAGTTTTTAAAAATTTTATCATAAGAGTCAGGATATATTAACAAAATTGCATCCTTACATTACCAAAATTCATAAGCAAAACAATTTCTATTTCCTGTACAGAAAGTGTAAAATAATGCAAACAAAGCTTATATACTTTTAAATAAAATATTAAACAAAATTTAAGAACAGAATATAAATTTTTTCACACAAAACACTACACCTTATTTTAAAAGATCCCAATTTGCTATAAAATAATTTTAAAAATCATTACATTTGAAGTAAAATAATTTTATAATAAACAAGTTTAAATCTGATTACTGAGTTTAATATTAATAAAAACTTATCTTTAGAGCATAAAATCTTTTATTATGAAAAATCAAGATTTAAAAAAAAAAAAAAAATGTTACCTGCAACTTATTTTCAGCTGATGTTTCTTCTCCAAGAAGGTATTCAAACATATTCTTTACTTTATTTACTGTACTTGCTTGCTCTTTAGCCTGAAGTAATATTAATAAGTTACAAAAGTGAAAAATATAAAGCATATAAATATACTAACATATATGGAAAATAATAATTATAATAAAATTCTCCTACATACAGTAAACAAAAATTCTTTCATTAAAAATGTACAGACTGGAAAAATATTTTTCTGTTAATTCAATTACATTTAAAAAAAAATGCCTATTAGAGCAAGTTTTATAAAATATGATTTTAAAAAAAGTGAAAAATGAAAAATATATAAATATAATAATGTATTTCACAAAATAAATTACAGCAATTTTATTTTATTTTGCGGTTAAAAAAAATCTCTGATTACAAATACACAGATTGGAAAAATACTTTTCTCCTAATTCAATTATTTTGTTTTCTTTTACTGCCTATTTATAGCAAAATTTCATAAACCATTAGTACTATTTAATTTTTCCATCTTATATTTAATGTATGTTAATCATTACTTTTTGTTAATATGATTAAAAGAACTACATTTTGGATTTGATGATTTCATAATAATTCAATCACGATTCAGTACAAAGTTCTGGAGATTTGATTTTTTATTCACGGTTTAAAAAAAAAAGTTAGTGGAAATATATTAAATGCCAGAATTTATTTGCATTCTGATTCAGTTGTTGATTGCAGTGTAAGTATGTGATTTTGGAATTTTGATTATTCGCAACTAAATAAGCTATTTCCTTATTCTCATGGTCCCATTACTTAAACAATGATAACAGCCTCTGGTAAACAGACTGTGCTAAAATAGCTAGCATTCCTACTCAGAGTTCTTGTGACTGGTATAAATGACCATGGTTAGATCTGCCAATCATTTGGTGATGATATGCAAAGAACTCCTAGTAAGGTTGCCGCTTTCACACAGCTATTCAACAAGAGGGCTTTTGATCCTGTTTAAAAAAGAGAGGCCAAAATTATAAGGAATTACTGAAAATAATTCTCTGACTAAAAATAAATTAATTAATTAAAGAAAACATACTATCTTTACTCACAAGTTCTTGTAACTTTGCATTTAGTCTTCTTAAAATAGGATGTACAGCACTATTCTTTGGATCTAAATGATTAACTGCTCTAGCATCCTTAAATGCTTCATTATACTGTCCAACTTGTTCATAAGCTTGACATCGACGAAATAGAGCTTTCACATCACTAGGAACTACCTCCAAAGCTTTTTTTTTTTTTTTTTAAAAAGAAAAAAAAAAAAAATTCCAAATTATTAGGGTCTAGATTATTACAAAACAAATTAGACTTTAGTAATGAATTTCAATTAAAACATTTGATTTTTTTTCGGGGGGGGGAGGTACTTTCTGGTTATCTGCACCTCTACAAAAAGTCAGCAACCTATCAACTTTGTGGATTGCCCCAAAACATTTATTTGGTTAATTTTATGGCTCATAGATACTGTTCTATTCACACATAATAATAAAAAGAAGCAACACAATTTTTTGCATGAAACAAGAAATGTTTTTTTTTTTTTTTTTTTTTTTTTCTAATTATCCCTTCCTCCCTGAAGTGCTTTCACAAGGCATTGTACTATGTTGTCAAAATAAGTAACTAATGACATCATAAAAATATATTCATATGGTAATCTAAGTATGCACACATGTGCAAATTATCACCTTCAAATTCAAGGGTCACAGACCATTTTCCTGATTAGTGTTTGTTTTTGTATTGACATTATGTTTTTGTTCTTGTAAGAAATAATAATAGGGTTGTGAAGTTTGCTGCTTGATCAAAAAGAAAGCAGTGCATTATTTCAGAAATATGGTACGAAATGACAGTGCGAAAATCTACATTCTATAAAGCTGTAGCTCTTAAATGATTGAAATTTGTGCACAAAACCCGATGTGTGCAATCCTTCCCTTTTTTAAGGGAAACGAGATTGCTATGTACACTGCAAAAAAAAAGGGGGGGACTGTTCTATATCTCCCATTTTACTGGGCCGATTGACAAAATTCAAATTGCGTTTTTCATGTCTTGAAAGTGTGACTTAGGATATGAATTAGATTTATATATAGTGTTCTAATGTAGGTATTTTGACACATAACTGGACTTTTTCTGAAATGACGTGCCAATGTTTTTCCATATTTGGAATTTACGACTCAAATTATGTCAAGCTGCCAAGTTTTGTAAAAATTGCGCGAGTAATTAAAAAAAAATTAGCTCTAAAAATTTTAGCTTCTCAATGTTTAATTGAAGTTGATATATATTTATTAATATCTCTTTTTTTTATTAAACTTACTTATTCCTTTTTTCAGAATTCAAAATTCAGACTTAATCCAAATATAATTCACACATTTTTCATGATTTATTTTTAAAATTTATATTTTTAAATATTTCCTATTAATTTTTCAAAAACATTTTGTATTATAACCTATTAAATTTTTAACATCATCTTAAAGTAGATGTATTTCTAGGCACACCTGCAAAAAATTACAGTTTTTTATTGAAAATTTTCTAAGATATACATGAATTTACATATTGGAGCATTTTTAAATTTGACATCTTTTTTTTGAGTGATAATAATGCCAATCCGTAACATGCACTTTGTTAAATTATTTGAAAGTATGAATGATGACTTTTTTCCGCACATCTACAATGCAAAAAAAAAAAAAAAAAAAAAAAAAAAAAGGAAAATAGGTAGCTATAAATTAAGCAGTTCACAGAGTAAATTATTCATGGCGAAAACTGAAAAAAATACGCCAAGATAAATTTTTGAATTTCTCTGTAAATTGCATACTAAATTTTACAAAATTTAATATTTAGGCATAATTTGAGTTGTAGAATCAAAATATGGAAAAATATTGGAATGTCATTTCAGATTTTGTGTCAAAGTACCTATGTCAGAATGATGCTATTTATAAATCTAATATCCTAAGTCTCGCTTTTGAGACATGAAAAACACAATTTGAATTTCCTCAACTGGTCCAGTAGAACAGGAGATATAGAACTGCCCCCTTTTTTTATGTGCAGGGTACATGGGAAGTACAAGAGCATGCTCAATGACAAATTTATGCAATTCTCTAATTTTTTTAAAGTGAAAACTGATCATTGTATACTTAGGGAGATCAACAGGGGAAAAAAAATGACATTCGGATTTCTTGAAAAGGACAAGTCCTTCTTTACAGAAGTTTTTTTTTTTTTTTTTTTTTTTTTTTTTATTTTATTTATTTGATTTATGGAGTTTTAAATTCACCACAATTTTCAAATGGCTGTTGCCTTTCGTACATTAGATTGGCAAAATTTTAGCCCGCAACAAGTTTATGAATTTTTGGTGGGGTAAGGATAGCAGAAAATAATAAAATTTTATAAGACAAAAATATTTATGACAGATATTTGTATTTATACTGAAATAGAGCATCAAAACAGAATATAGTGAAAAGATGATTAAATATATACTTGAACACATACGTACTACACGCACGCATTGGCTATCATCATGTGTATACTTGAAAATATGACAAAAACACAGCAGTTTTTTACTGAATGTTAGAAGCAGGGGAGTAGAACAATTAGAAAATGCCAGATAAATTTTCAAGTTAATATGTTTTTCTAGATAAGAAGCAAATTCCTATACATGCATTTATAAAAAATCACAGTATTTTTATTTATAATATTAAACTGAAAAAAAAAAAGAAAAAAAAAAAAAACTTTTTCACATTACACTTTTAAAAATTAAATTTTGAACTTGATTACTAACATATTCATCCTCTTTCAGTTATTTTACTATGCATACTTAGCATTTCCATTAATAGGATAGCAATCATAAGGAAACAATGTTGGTGGGAAATGTAGCCTGAAGTAATAATGGCAACCAAGGATAAGATTCAAGATTCCTCCCTGTTTGAAAATATATTCATATATGAAAATTAAAAAAATATATTACAGAGTTTCCTGAAGTGAATAATTATTTTATCATATCCAAGGTAATGAAATGTTGCAGCCCTGGTTACAGAACAGTACTGTATACTTCAATTCAGGAGAATTCCCCTATATTTGATTTATTCTGCTACTGTATACAGTAGAAAGTCGTTAATTCGGACCTCAAAGCTAAAAACTTTCTGCGCATGCGCCGCGTTGACACATGCGCATAGGCGTTTACACCTGCGCGTAACACCTTTACGACTGCGCATATGCGTGTGCGCAAGTGCAGAATAAGTTTTTGCGTGCGCGTTTAATGTATAATGGACAGTATGAGCTAAAATTATCTAATTATCTATTTCAGTTAATGTTGATGATTGCATTGTTCCTTAATTTTCGAACTGGATACGGCTTATTACTTTTTTCAGACTGTAAAAGCAATTTTATAAAAGTAAACATGAACTTTCGATTACGTCAAATAGAATTTCCGATGCTGGAGCTCCCAAAGGATCTACAAAACGAAAGTACGTTTCGATGTCCATCAAACAAAAAGTGGAATTGATGCAAAAAATGGATAAAGACATGAAGAATGTGACAGAGAGGTTAGTGAAAACGAAAAAATTTCAATTGACAAGTTAGTCGGTATTCTTGGCACAGCAATTACGGGACTTGAACAGCGGAACTTTGTAACTGAACAAGAAATTATGTCTGTTTATAGAATTAAAGAGAAAGTATTATCACATAAAAAACGAAGCAACTTAAACAACTTACATTGAAAGAAATGTTTAATAAAGTAAACAAATAAATATTAAGCTTTTTTTTTTTTTTTTTTTTTTGTAAATTTTGATACCCTTTAGATCATCATTGTTCTTTATTTCATAAATTACGGTTTCATATTTTTAATTTTAGAATTTCTGCATGCTATCTTACGAGATTTAAAGTGATGATCTATAATTCGGAATCGCCGAAGTCCCGACGAGTCCCGATTAACTACTTTTGACTGTATTATATGAAATGTATTTTATTAGTTGAAACTTTTTAACAAGGTATTTGTAAAATACTTTTTCAGATAAATAAAAGTTTTAAATTTAAATCAATTACATTTAATTTGGATTTCTGGAAATTTGGACAATGTTCAAATGAGATAACTACAGATATGATAAAATTTTTCTACAGTAAAAATATACAAATTAGAACCAAAGGTATTCATTTGAAGAAAAATCAACAACTATTTTCTGTTGCATCATTACACATAAATCCCTCCTCCCAAAATCCATTTTAAGAAAATGATTTAAAATTTAAACATTATACAATTACCTTCTGAAGTATCTCTAATCACATTTTGATACTCTTCTAACTTTAAATAAGCAGCAGCTCTGTTTTTTAGAAGAGTAGCTTTATCTATCTTATCTTCACAAAGTTTTAAAGCTTTAGAATAAAATTTAACAGCCTTTTCATAATCACCAGCAGAAAAGTAAGAATTTCCTTCCTCTTTCAGCTGCAACATATCTTTTTCTGCATCTTTTGAATTTTCAGTTGAAGGAACTTGATTTCCACTTTCTTGCGCAATAACAGGCATCTAAGAATAGTCCATATGATATATATATTGAATTCTACAAAAGATAGCTTTTCATAAATACAAATTAAGATCTCACATCACAAATTTCAAAAAAAGTAAATGAAAATTCTTGTAAAAACCTTAGCAAATATATCCTGAGGCAAACATTTCAATAATTTTTCACTCTAACAAAGTTTGCAATAATTAATAGCATGATGTGATCACAGAATCTACTTTTGATTGACATTATATTTGATTGATATTATTGACATAGTGAACAATATGTAGTTACACATTTGAAAAAGTTAAAAACTTCAAAAATCTGAAGCAGCTCATTTCAGACAATATAAATGTTCATAGAAGCAAATAATAATAATAAATCTAAGTATTTTAAGAATTTAATTTCATAATTTTATTTTAATAATTTGGGAGTGGGAATAATGGCTATGGAATTTATAGTTTGAAAGCATGGCTATGTCCAGCATATTGGTAACAATTCTTCCTGTTTTTGTGGCTGAGAAGAGCAGGGTGATTTATCAACCTTGATGTGCCAGGACACTTAATTACTTATCTCTTTCAAGGAGTCAGTCAGTCTAGACTAATATACTCTGTATCTCTCTTTTAGGTCCTTCCAGTGTCCGAATGATTCAGACTACTGAATACTGATAGTTCAATTTGGATTAAAACCCAGGTGAATGAGTAAGTTGTACGGTTGATTTTTCATAAATTTTCCAATGTCCAGGGGCTTACCAAAGGCTTGGTGGACTGCCTTGGGCCTCTGACCAGGGCAGACTTCCAAACAACCTTAAAGTTTTTGAATATATGTAGGAATATAAAAAAGGAAGAAGCTAAAAAAGTAGTCCACATTGGAAATGAAGAATCAATCACTAAGTTATATTTGTCACTAAAGACTTTTTTGTTTTTGACAGTGTGGGCTTTAGTTGCTTCCAGTGACAGAAGCTTTTCAAAGCCAAAGTTGATTAAAAGCTTATCTTTGTTGAACATAGAACCAAGTAAGACTTTTTGGCCATCCTTTCTATTCCAAATGCTAAGAATTGTTTTATGTTAGGAAAAATTCCATTACAACTTAATGTTTTGGCAATCCTTTCCATTGCAAATGCACATGGGCAGTAGCTAAAAGCATTAATTCTGATGAAGATATAAATTTCAGAAGCTCAAAAAAAAAAAAAAAAAAAAAAAAAAAAAAAAGTTTCAGATTTTTTTTTATTGACAGAAAAGTTTAAAATGCACTTTTATTCTTATAAAATCAACAAAATAGCAGATTAATAAGCTTTTTTAAACATATGTTGTCTGCTAGATGTAAGTTGTTTCTTCTTTAGTCTTAAAATTTTTTGCTTTTCAAATAATTTTAACTATTTAATTTTAATCATATATTTGCACTAACATTTTATATGGTGATCATTCTAATAACAGGGGCTCCAGGAAGATTTCTGGCTTAGGCCTCAATAGCTGTAAGCCTGCCACTGACCAGTGTAATTTTAATACTATGCAGTTTCCTTTAAAGAGTTCTCTACGAAGGCCTCCTACAACTTAAGCAGATAGTCCTTGTATGCTTTGCTGTATTCAAATATTGTAACCCTCATCTTTGGTGAAAACTCTTGAATTGTTTTAGAAAGGAGTGCAGCAGCAAACAATCACTATTACTACAAATAAAGAAAATAATTTGAAAGTGTGCTGCACTAGGTATGAGAAACCCCATCTTTTTAAGTGCTTTAAATGTATCCAGCCCCTGGTGAGAAAAGATTAAAAAGCATTAATGATTATTGAGGAGCAAATATAGGTTTTGCTTTCTGTTATAAAATGCCAGTTTTATGTTTGCTAATTTTGCTTGTAAAGTTATTGCTTAACAATTATGTTTTTCTAATGAGGGAAGACTAAACTGTGCAAATATATATAACTTATGCAAATATCATAAACACCATTGGTTAGACTATATTTTAGGGTACCCCTTGGATTATCGCCAAGTTGTTTCATTTATTGTAACCTGATTAACTGAATGTTATGGAAACCAAATTATGACATGATTGGTTGCGTGATTGCGGTGAATTTGACTAATGGGAAAATATCTGTAAGGGCTTATTTATGTGTTGGATGTTGATTAGGAAGTACATTGCTTATTTTGTGCTTTACACCATAAATAATTTTGAAATAATTATAAATACACCATAAATAATTTTTGGTGGTATGATTAAACTGAAGTTTCTGTACACTTTAGAACGATTGGGAAAGAAAACATTGACTGGTGTGTAAATAAAAATTTAAATGGCTTCGTTCATCTCTCGGTAAATTATGCAGTGAGATTTAAGGATTTGGAAACCAGAGCTTATATCAACACTATGGAAGGTATCTGCAGTGTAATGTAAAAGGATTTTCGAAAGAAATGCCATCAACAGTCCGGAGAATATTTGAAATTTTTACTTTTGTGAATTTATGTGGTGACTGCAGTATACAGATTCTAGTTTAAATAATCTTAAATTGTTTTTGGATGCTATTAAGGAACTTTGTGTGTCTCACATGGAGAAGAAACAGAAATTTTTAAATAAGGTAAGTCAATATTTCCTTTTTGTATTGCGTAGATTACATAACATATATTTCCATTCTAATATTATTTCCTAGTTTGATTTAAAATGCAGTTTAAAGAGATTATATATTGTTTTAATTATGTTTTATTGCATTATGTTTTGGATGCCATTTTACTGGGGAGGGTGTTAGACATAAACAGGAATGACGCAAAAAAATCGCCAAGGGGTACCCTGAAATATATTTTTACCGACACCACTTAATGTGATCATAGCTATTATTATCATTCAGGTATTGTTATCAAATTATCAAAATCCTGCTCATTTGCATATGAAACATGGAACATACATCAATTATTGTGGTCAACAGTTTGATTAATATGATTAAAATATTATATAATAAATTTTTTTAAGCTGAAGTTATGTCAAAATTGATTATAAAATTTTCCAAGTGAGAGAAAAATGTTACCAAATAAGGGATTAAGTTGGCAAACAGCTTGGTTTAAATTTCAATTAACCATTAAAAATTAGGCCACCAAAAAAAAAAAAAAAAAAAAAGCAAACTTCTGACTAGATTTTGAATAACTCTATCAATTTTAACAGCAATCAGGCTTAGGTCCCTCTTCAAAAGCCAACAAATTACTGAAATGTCTATCCAAAGCAAAATTGCCTTTTTTTGCTTAATTTTAAATTTAACACAATAACACAATATGTTGTGTATAAATGGGGAAATGTAAGAAATTGTCATTGTTACTGATGGATGTTGTGTATTATGATTAGTCGTACAGCATCAGTCAAATAATTTCTAGCTTAAAAATTAACTTCTGCATTAATTGTGAACAAATGAACAATTCATAAACGAACTTGTTCACTTTCCTAATTAAAATGTGTAAAAATACCTATTTAGTCATATTTACTGTATATTTCTACATATAAGGTGAGAATTTTTAAAACTTTTTCTAAATTATGGAGGTTGGCTTACATAATAAATAGATCAGCTAATCTCGCAAAAAAGAGAGGAATTTTCCATCAGTGGACACAAGCAATAAATCACCCAATACAGCTTTTTTTCAATTCTTTAGTTTATATTACTTAAGTTTATGAAAAAAATTAAATGAAATAAATTGTTTCATTTTCAAAATTGTGTATGTTGGTTGCTTATTGTGGCATCTCCAAAACAAAAATAGCTTTAGTGTTGACACCTGACAGTCTGCTAAGAAAACACTTTCACATTTGCAGTCGTTAAATAGCAATGAATCCTGTTACATGCATGAGCCAATATAGTTTTCTTTAATTTTTTATCTTAGTGTTTTGATTGATTGATGCCTGTTTTTGTTTTTGAATAGCTGCTAACTAACTGGTTAAATTATAAATAAATGATAAATGAATTTCAAAAGAAGTTAATTTTGTTATTTTGCAGTTACAGTCCAGAACAGTGGTCATATTTAGTCCGAGCATCTTGGCAATATTCTAAACTTTTTTTTTTTTTCAGAGGAACTTGCTAAGAATAGGCACTATTACGTATTACTGTCCTTATTTGAAGAAGTAATTTGAAAACACAAATAATATGATTGACTAATAATGAGATAAAGATCAACACTATAGAACTGGAATGTAAGCTGGGCAATGTTAATATCATTTCAAATAAACTTGATTTACAGTTGAATTTATGGTGTTTTAAAAGATGAAGATTGTGAACAGCATGAAACTATCAAACTGGCACTTTTACATCAACATACTGTATTTCTGAAGAAATTTTGCCTACTGCAGGCAAATCCAACAGCATGCAGAAGTGACAATGCTGCTTGTTAAAACTGAATAACTGTTATGCACATGGTTGCCAGAGTTTGGTGCATTCTGAAAAACCTGGCAAATTTTATTTAGTAAGCTTTTCTAACATATAAGCACCATTTATGTTGTAATGGTACAATTATCTAATATGTAAGTTTCCCTCTATTACAGCACAAATGAGAAGATTTCATATAATTTTTGTCTGAAGAAGCTCACACCAGATCATTGTTCTAATAAAAATTTGACACTATTTTAGTACTAATTCAGAAGTCAAATAACAAAAATCAGCATTATATTTTCAAAATTTTCACAGGACTAGTTTCGATGGTTTTACCGAACCACCATCGTCAGCTGTAAAACAGCAAATGGTTCGAATATATAACGCTGATTTTTGTTGTTTGACTTCTGAATTTGTATTTGTTCGGCGTGTTATTGTGTTTTAACTATTTTAGTAGTAAGCAATATGGTGTGATGTTTGTACTTTAGCTTAATGTATGATACAAACCCATCTTATCCTTCCAGAGAAATGATGCCCTATACAAAATAAAAAATATTTCAGATTTCTATATCAAACAACACACTATGTATTCTTAACAGTAATTTGGAATAATGAACACATAATACTATCTATATCAAAATAATTAAATGTGGTGATAATTTCTATCCTCTACTTCAGAAAAAAACTATCTATGGTGATAAGCTATGAGAGAATAAATTAATTAGTATAGTAGTGGCATCTGTCAACACAAATACTCATCTGTCATTAAAAGCACAAAATTAATTGGCTATAGCTAAATCTAAACATTTTCATTTGTTAGCATAGTGTTTCATGGCATAAAAAATACATTTACAGTCTAAAGACTGTAAATGCCAAGTTTCCAGCTTCTGTTGTTCCATACAAACATCACTTCTAGCATACTGGCATGATGCGAGATTGCCATAAATTCCATTGCAACAGGCATATGCATTTAAAGAGAATAGATGAACTGTGTTATGTTGATGTACATGTGTGAACCATGTTACATTTAGACCAGACAGTGCTCCGATAACTTGATGACTTCATTGATTTGATGGAAAGGGATATTATCTCCCTTTTTATTGCTTCCTAAAATAAAATAATAATAAGAAGAAATATTGATTCCAAAATTAGTCTAATAGCAATCTCACATATGGATGTAGGTTAGAGTAGACTGAAGGGTACCCCTTGTATTATCGCGAAGTTGTTTCGTTTATCGCCAAGTTGTTTCATTTATGATAACCTGAGTAGTTGAATATTCCGTAAATATACTTTACCTAGAAATGGGTGCTCCTTTGACCTTTTAAGTGAAAATATATCGACATGTGTACATGGACAAAGTCAAGGCAGTGCACAATGCCAAGTTTGTGCAATTCTCTGATGTATTTTTAAATGGAAATAGGTCGACGTGTACATCAGGGTTCGTACACATTTCTGAACACGGAAATTAAGTACTTTTAAGGACCATTAATGAAAAAAAAATTAAGGATCTATGAGCAAATGGAAACTGAATAAATTCAATTAAAAATACTATCTATGCCTGAATTTCACTTTTGTAATACCATCCTAAAAATAAAATAGATCCCTAGTAGTATGCATTATTATTAAAGATGAATTAATTAACATAATTATTAATAAGTTTGAGAATAAAATTAACTTTATGCAATTTATCAAGTAGCATTAAATACACTTATACTAGTTGGGCATATTTGAAAGAAGATAAGTGACATTTACTAACAGTTAGCTTTATGTTGATTTTTTTTATGTCATATACTTGGTCAGTCTAGAGATTTAGTTAATAGCAGGTAGATTTTATGTCAAATGGCATAGGTTAAAATGAGAAGTAAGATCATAATCAGCATGATTCATAAAAACAGACTAAATATTGTAACCGCTGCTGCTTGTCTAGAGAGAGACCTGCTGATTAGAACAAACCTGAAAGGCCTGATGTAGACCCGGTTGGCAAGTGTTGAAAGTTAGTCAGGTTCTGTTTGATGCAGTTAGTGTCGTAGCCTCGTGTCGAGTTCCAGGGGTTGTAACCCAGTTAATATACTTTAAGGTTCCAATAAGCCATCAAAGCACCAGAGGTGATAAGTTGTTTTGTATTATTTTAAGTCTCACTAGATGCAAAGAATAAGTTTTATTTGAATTTTTACATTTTTGTGTTTTATCTAGTAACCACAGCGAGTATTAATGAAAGCCAATAACTCGCTTTAATATGTAGAGATAACTTTTAAGGGTAAGCAGTTATAAATAATTAAAATAATTAAATTGGGTAGTTTGGTAACCTTAGTCATTGTGGATTTACATGGCCACTATTAAATTTTATTTTAACAATATTTTTTTAAAAAGCTCTTTTAAAATTGAAATCTAATAAAATTTCACACTTTAAAATACATGTAATTTATGACATTGACTCTTAAACAATATAAGGATTATTACAGATTAAACGCTACATAACATTTATGTTTTGCAACAACAACACTCAACAAAATATTTATCCGTCATTTTAATTTGAAGCCTTCCCAAACATTTTGGCTACTATATATCGATTTTCTTCTCTTTAAGCATCTTTTCTAACAATTAAGAGATTTGTCTCAATATGCAAACCAATGCTCTCACTAGTTTCTGCTTGCTTTATCTCCTAACTTGTCAACCTCTCTACAATGTACCCATGAGGGTTTACTTGATCTGGTAAAAGTTAAATAGTTCAAAACCCATAACAGACGTGAAGCATATTATTGATATTTTTTAAAGTAACTACAAATGTTTTGCAACAACAACACTCAACAAAATATTTATCCGTCATTTTAATTTGAAGCCTTTCCAAACATTTTGGCTACTATATATCGATTTCCTTCTCTTTAAGCATCATTTCTAACAATGACAAATTTGTCTCAATATGCAAACCAATGCTCTCACTAGTTTCTGTGTGCTTTACGTCCTAACTTGTCAACCTCTCCACAATGTACCTATGAGGGTTTACTTAATCTGGTAAAAGTTAAATAGTTCAAAACCCATAACAGACATGAAGCATATTATCGATATTTTTTAAAGTAACTACAATATCAGACAAAGGTTTAAAAAAGAACTCACAACATAAAGGCATGTTCTGATGCTAACAAAATCAATTACACTCATGGTGACGTAATTAAACAAGAACAATCAAACACAAACTAAAAATGTGGATTAGTGGTCAAAGCTTATACAATTTAATTTAAATTTAATCTGTCTCAGTAACTCTATCATATGAGGAAATAGAAATGGGAAATTATAGTAAAGGCTGAAATTATAAACAATTGGGTAATTTACATAATATCATATGTATATATCATATATCTTTGCACATATCTTTGAAGAATAATTTTTTTTTGTGTATTCAGTTTCTTTCTTCAACACGTTTCCTTTTCATTTTTGGATTTAATTAAGGAATTCTGTTATTGTAAAATACACTAAATGCATTTAGAATGTATATAAAAAGCAGCTAATTTTATTTCTTTAGTAATATGAACATTCAACCAAATGACAAGTCTAGAAATGGCAAAACTTTTAGAATTTACACCAGGCATTGAAAGCAGAATTTAGAAAGACAATAGGCAGCAGAATTTAGGATCCACAGAGATTGCATCAGGTGGGAAAATGCCTAGTGCCAGCTATATGATGCATTAAGACTGCCAAAAATCGCCCCGCCAAAGGGTACCTTGGCGATTTTTGAGAAATATACTTTTACCATCCACTGTAAATATACTTTTACTGGATGAAAATTAAAAAAGCTGAATTTTTATCTTATAGTATCAAAACACAGGCATTTTAATTTATTGGTTATTGGCAGTAAATAAAAAAAGATGTTTACAGTAGGTGAAATTTACAGTTTGTATTTTCTGTAAGTGAGCAAGACAGTTATCCATCTTATATCTTTGTTTGTTTATTTACAGGAGAAATTACGTTTTCGTATTCAGTATTATAAAAAAATTGCTGTTCCATGAAATTAAATTAATACCTTTGAATTCTTTGTAAAAATGTTAATTATGACTTCCTCAAGTGATACGAGAGGAAGGCATGAGGTATTTGAAATAAAGAAATAGTTAGTTAGTAAGTTAAAGATATTCTGATGCGCAATCGAAATGCTGCTGTCAAAAAAAATTTTCCCTCTTTAAAATCCAATAATAACCATAATGATAAGAATTATATGGTAAAAATGTATGGCAATAATAAAAGAAAATACGTCAATACTGAATTTAAAACTATTCACAGATTATATATGTATTGGCAGCTGTTTTCTTATGCTATATATTAGTTTTGGTTTAATCTACTTTAAGAGGCTAAGGAATATCGATTGATGTTGGAGGTCAGAAGAAGAGAGTTCAACACTCTAGTGTAGAATTGGGTGCCCCTTCGGTTAGCGACAATTTTTTGAAAAATTTTGGCGATGAAATCTCATTTCTGGTTACCATGATAGTTTAACTTTGCTTTAGCCTCATGATTTTTTTAAAAATAAAAGTAGATTGATGTGTACATGATCAAATTTAAAGCAGTGCGCAATGCCTAGTTTGTGCAATTCTGGGATGTTTTTTCAAGTGAAAACAGATCGATGTGTACATGGACACAGAGTTTATGCAATTCTTTGACTTCTTATCTTGGTTTTGTGTAGCGGTCATCTTGAAATTGTGTCTTCCTGGCGCCGATCTTGGCGTCAAAAAAGAATCGCCAAAAAACAAGGGGCACCCAATTGTAAACTTCTACCAAATTAAGATTCAAATATAATAACAAATGAAGTAAACGATAAAAGTTACATTAAATTTGATTAATTGTTCTTGAGTAACTACTTAATGGAAAAAGTTCATTTAATGCTTATTTCCTCTAATGCGTTATTAGGGCAAAGATAATTATAATTAAGCTTTAGAAAAAGAATAACTACAATTATTCTTCGATTTCAAAACAGTGCATAACGTAGTAATTTTTGAATCATTTGCAAAACAACAATGCCAAATTATCAAGCAATAAACGCTGTGAAATTTCCAAATTATTTAGAAATTTTAACAGATCATGTACACCTTGGCAATACAATTTTCAAAATTATAATTACAATTTTCAAATTATAATCATATATTAATTAATTATACTTACTGTGCTTGAAATAAAACCAAGTCTCGCAGAAGACGTATATTTCCAAATGGTCTAGGAAGAGGCACGCGCGAATTGTACCGTCTGCACCGGGAGAAAAACTATTTACAGAACGCTCCCATTATAGTAACAATTGACATACAAGCGTCTAGCCCCTCAGGTGCTAGTTTCCTCCTGATTCTCCCTGATCATTTGCGCAGGTTCACGCGCAGCGTGTTTATGTCAGGGAGCTCGGCATGCAGAAAGGAATTAGCTGGCACAGACGCCGTGCCGTCAAGTTACGAAAGTGCTGCGCATTACTCAGTGCAAATTAATTTCTTTTATTAGTGTTTCTACAGTATTTTTCTTTTTAAGTCGGATACATATTTACATGTTGATATTGATTTTTGGTTGTTTCTCATTTTCTATCAAATAATATATTATTTTGATTTGTGTATAAAAGAATTCCTGATATTTATTCATTCATTCATCTATACATCATCGCCCAAAGCTATTACAGATGCAGATATCAAAAGCTAGGAGCTCATTTCTTGTCTACTGAAGGCGTCATTTAAGAAGAGATTTTTAAAAATTCGGCACCCAATGGGGGGAGGGCAAAAAATGTTTTTACGTTTTTTCATATAAGGAAGAAACAGATGTACACAAGAGTCTTGCTTTAAAATGTATGGAACATGAATACTTAAAAACCAGTTTCAGAAGTTCGACCCCCCAAGGACCCCTACCCTTGAGAATTCGGCCCCCAAGGGGGTAGGGGGCTGTGGTAATACAATTTTTATTAAGGTAGTACAATAATTGAGACAGATCGTAATAATCATAACAATAGAATAGAAAATAAATATATTTTTGTCTTTCATTGTTATGGGTTACCAGACTGGCAGCATTGTAATAGGCAAGTCGCCACAGGGGCAAAACATGTTTTCACATATTTCTTCACACTTTAGATATCCGTAAGATTCAGTGGTGGATAAGGCTGGTGCGGTTATGGGCTGATCAAGAAATTCGAACAATCGAATTGACACAGATGACTCGGCGAGACAGCCCTGCGAGGGAGGGTATGTGCGTAGAATTAATACTTTCTCTGAAAAGTATATCTTCCAATGGTATACAAAATGCACAGATACGACAAATGGCAAAATCTATTCTGGATAAAATATCAACTTTTAGAATAATTTTGTCTGCTCGTGTATATTTGAAAATATTTCAATATACTGAGCCAGTAATGAAATATTTGCAGACTAAAGGATTAGATTACATGCTAGCATATAATATAGTTAGGGAGGCTGCAAGCTCTTTAAAAGCCATCTCTAGAAACTTCAATTTAACATTTAATGCATCAAAATTGTTTGCAACGGATTACAATAATAAACTAGAAAGGCTGGGTTGTGATATAAAAGAAGAGCTACCTGTTAGAAGATACCAAAAGTGAAACAATTAGACGATGAAGATGAAGAATCGGCCGACTATAATTTAAATTGCTCTATCAAACAAGTTATTGTCTTTACTTTTATATTGGATAACGCCATTTAATCGATGAATAGTAGGTTTAAAGGGCATAGGAAGTTGTATGAAGACATATCCCCAAAACTTTCGAAGCCATTGTCGCCGAACACTTTCGACTATTTTCTATATTATTAGGGCATTATGCAGTGTAACAGCTGGTTAAAATTCTTAAGGACGAATATCAGGACCTAGTAATTAAATGTGAAATAATAAAAAATTCAATTGAAAATCATTATTCTGAATCTAATATTGAGTCAGAAAGAGAAAAAGCTCTATCTATTCATGAGCATTCATCCATTCATCCAAAGCTAAATGCAATTTCTTGTGTGCATATAAATTACTCTTGAAATATAATTTATGTAGTATTGTGTATGCCAATGTCTTTTTTGCTTATACGTTTGTACTCGCCCTATCTATAACGATGAATGTGAAAGAACTTTTTCAAAATAAAAAATTGTAAAAAGTAGATTAAGGAGTGCAATGAAGCAAGCTAATTTGAAGTCATTACTATTGATGAACATAGAAAAGCAAAAATTAAAGATATTATGGAGGAAATATTTGCCCAGGCACATGGAATTAAAAATCTTTAAATGGCTAATTATGAATCAGCGGTGTTTTGTTTATATAATATTTAGTCACTGTTATTTATTGTTTGTAGTTTATTTGAATATATATATATGAATAAAGTGTTACTTTTCTGTAAAGGTAACACTTTATTCAGATATTCCGTCAAAACCGCTGCTGTGCGTGAGTGTATGTGGACGAGCATTGTCATGCAGGAGCACAAAACTGCAGTAAGCATTCCACGCCTCTTGTTTCAAATGTCGCGTCACAATTTTCACTGTGTTTCACAGTAACGGTCAGCGTTTACTGTTTCCCCACGTGGAAGGAACTCAATGAGCAGAATGCCCTTTCTGTCCCAGAACACTGTGCACATCACTTTGCGTACCGATAGCGTCTGTTTGAATTTCGTCCCGACTGGAGATCCACTATGCTGCCAATGCATTGACTGCTGCTTGGTTTCCGCGGTGAAGTGCAGAATCCAAGTCTGATTGCCTGTGACGATCCCATCGAGGAACTTGTCGCCGTCATCGTGATACCGTTACAGAAATGTCAGTGCTGCTCCTAAGCGTTCAATTTTGTGTTCAGATGTCGGGTTTTTCGGCACCCACCTGGCACACAATTTTTTGAACAGCAGGTGCTTAGTGACAATCTCTTGCAACAAGGATTGTGATATCTGCAGAAAATGGCTGCTCAGCTTCGTAATCGTGAAGCGACGGTTCTCTATCACAAGATCATCATTGATGAGGGACTGTCTGCCACTGCACTCTTCATTATGAGCACTTTGACGACCTTCTGAAAACTGCCTACACCAACGATGCATCATCTGCTTTACTCATGATGTTTGTCCCATAGACCTGACAATTAATTTCAATTGGCGCAGTACTTGCATTCAAGAACTTTATCACTGACCCAACCTCGCAGGCGGCAGGAGAAGGAATAAGAGCTTCCATCTCGGACCACTGCAACCACGCTACTGGCACGAGGCACAAGCGTCTAGCCCCTCAGATGCTAGTTTCCTCCTGATTCCTCCCTGATCATTTGTGCAGATTCACGCGCAGCGTGTTTACTCCAAAAAGCTTGGAGTGGTCAAAGCCGTTTTTTTTAAAACGACACTCGTTTAAAACGTTGCAAACTTGGTGCGCATTACTGAGTGTAAATTAATCTCTTTTATTAGTTTATCTGAAATAGTTTTCTTTTTAATTGTATACATATTTAGTTCAGATGTTTTATTATAAATCTATAAATCATAAGTTATTGCATATAAGCTTTTTTATTACATTTGAAGAATTCCTGATTTATTCACTACAGATCATCGCCCAAAGCTATAGAGAGATATCAAACTTAGGTTAGCTTCTTATTTTTACGTACCGAAGATGTTATTTAAGAGAAGATTCGTTAATTCGACGGGGCATCAGAATTAATGTTTTATCAAAACATGTGTTTTAGTTTCATCTTCAGTTTCCGAAATTTTCATCGTTTCAAATATAAGAAGTTCAAACATTAATAATGATGTAAGAAGTCAAGTAAAAATTTGCTACACTAGAAATTAACTTCTTTTCATCAGAGAGGGCAAAGGGCGGTAAAATAAAACTCAGCTATTCCAAGTCACTTTAAAGGCACCCAAATACGTTTAGATGTTTTATTATAAATCCATAAAGGAAGAATTCCTGATTTATTCACCTAAGATCATCGCCCAAAGCTATTAGAGATATCAAAACTTAGGAGCTTATTCCTTTTGTACCGAAGATGTTTTTAAGAAGCGATTTTAAGATTCGGGGCAAAACGTGTTTTTATGTTTTTTCATATAAGGAAGAAACAGATGTACATAAAATTCTTGCTTTAACTCTTTCGATCGAAGAGGGCAAAATTCAATTCCCAAACATCAAAAACGCCCGTATCTAAGAATTTTCCTGGAATGCTTTCTTCCCCATGACAAGTTGAATACTACAGTGCTAACAATAGCCTTACTTAAGTAAAGCGAGAACTTCTTTCTTCGACGCTTTGACACTGCGTGAAGTTCCCCCTTGGGACGGGATTGCAACTTCGGGCATCAAAAGCTAAACACTGACAGTAAACAAAGGAAAGGAAGGAACAAAGGAAACAAGGAAGCTACTTTTAGTAGCTTCAAAAGAATGATTGGAACGTGATTTAACAACACCTGAAAGCAATGAGTAATGCAGTAACGTGATGGGGGGAAAGCACTGGGTAGGAAATTATTCGGGCGTCCAGCCGATGTCTGAATGCTCGGGCAAGCGACTTCGATGCGAAAGAGTTAAAATGTATGGAATATGAATACCTAAAAAAAACCAATTTCAAACGTTTTCAAAATTCGGCCCCGAAGGGGGGGGGGGAAACGTGTTCTTTACATATTCCTTCATATCTCAGATATCTATAAGACAAACTTATGAATTATTGCTGTAAAATGTAAGGAATACGAATAAATGCTGACATCAACATGTGTGGGGAGGGGGACTGATTGGCATAAAATACAAGTTTACATAATGTACAAGTAAGCCTTATTCAAGGTACAGGAATACCAGGTACCTTTACCAGGTATGTGTAAAGCTAGTTAGCATTAAAAAAATTAAGTTAAGGTTTCTACCATTTAATGTTATTAATAATTAAAACCCCAAAATAAAAATGTAGCAGCATGTGGCAATTCACAAAACTGTGATGAGATTGTTACAATGTTCAGTTAGTTTTAAACAATTCTACACATAATAAAATGGCCAGTGCACAACATGTGAATGTACATGGGGTTGAATAATTAGAAAATAAAAAACTTGACAAATATTAAATAGTAGAAAATATTGCTTACTGTTCAAATTTGGGATTGACTCAGTTTCACCAAAATATATTTATCAACATTAAAATGTTTGGTAATAATCTATTGACTGAAACAGTATAAAAGTCAATGAATGATTGATTGTATGGACAATATTTGGTACTGTTGGACTTGGGGGGGGGGGGAGGAAGGAGGAAGAAGGAAGCAGTAAAGGAATGCAAGGAGGATGAAGAAAAATAGACTTACTCATTAATCACAGAATACATCAGCCTACCACGAGGACCTGAGATAAAGGTTTAAAACCCTGTTCTG